TATAGTCTACTTTCAGCATGCTTCTCCCATCCTGAGAGGATCCTCCCAACACCCTTTATTTGGTGCTCCCTTCTCTGTCTGAGCTGCCATTTCCCCTAGCGTGTGCTATAACCAGATTTTTTTTTGAAATTTTTAAAAATTTTATTTTAATGAAGCATTTTTTAATAATTTTATTAGCCATTTAGTGGTGGCAAGCAATATAAAATAAAATATTGTGGACCTGCTGTAGGGGCAGGCTTTGAGGAATGGTTAGGAAAATGGAGACAATGGCGGAGGGAATGTCACAGTGATTGTGGAATTGGGGTTGGAATATTGAATGCCTATAACAAACGCATCATAAACAACTTTGTAAACCAGTGTTTAAATCAATTGGGGGAGGAGAAAAGGAACCGGTACATATGCACAACGGAATACTAGATAGGATGAAGTCCTGCGACTCTCTGTTACCTGGATGGAACTAGAGGGTGTCATGCTGATTGAAGTCAATCAGAAGGAAAGGGACAGATAGAGAATCATTTTTCTCATGTTTGGATTATAAAGAAACATAAAAGAGAATAACAAAAGGCTAAAGTGAATAACGGCCAACGTAACAGAACCTGGGAGTAGTTCTAGAGAACTAAGTTTGCCAAGATGGTGGGAAGGGTCCTTTAGACACTGGTGGAGGGACAATGGCACAAGTGGGAGGTGTGGTGTTAGAACACTGTATGCTGCAAAGTTTATTATTAGTAAATTTTGATCTGGCACTATAGCTGGTGGTGCTCAGTGCTTATTCTGGCTCTGCACTTAGGGATCACTCCTGGTAGAGTTTGGGAGACCACATAGGCGAATTTTTTTATTATACATTAGCTGTACATAGATCTGAGGACTTATCTCTTGGATCTCATTTCTATTCTACTCATTTGAGGGTGCATCTTGACTCCAGTTATGCACACACAAATGTATGTTTTTTATAGCTTTATAGTATAACTTAAATTCCAGAAATGCAATACCTTCAATGTTCTTTACAATTAGAACTGCTTTGACAGGGATTCTTTGATACCACACACAGTTTAGCCAAAAGGGAGTAAGTTTTATAGCAGTCAGGGATGCCATCAATACTGCCATGAAATATTTCCTGGAAGAGGCATGTGTGACATTTTATACATTTCTCAACATAGAAAAAAAGCAAAGACAAACAAAACATAAATTTTGGGGCCATATCCCCGTATACTGTGTTTATCTATCTAATGAAATAGGTAAAAAAAAAATAAGTACTACCGGATGATTTTTCCCGAGGTAATTTAGCTGAAAGAAACGTAATCTGTGACTTTACTAATTTTGTTTTTTCCTTTTTCATATTTAAATGTTTTTATTTATTTGTTTGTTTCTTTGCTTTTTGGGTCCACATCCAGCAGTGCTCGGGGGTTACCTCTGTCTCTGCACTCAGGGATCATACCTGATGGGGCTTGGGGGACCATATGGGATGCCAAGGATAGAACCTGGTAGGCCTGCATGCAAGGCAAGTATCTTATCCACTGTGCTATCTCTTTAGCCCCCAAATGTTTTTGTTTCTTTCAGTAATGACTAGCAAGAGTATTTGCTAGTTGAAGCTGTTTCTAAGAAGTCCTACATCGTCAATCCCCCATATTCTTTACTATTCCAGAGGCGTCGTTCCACAATCTGCTAAGGCTTATCTTGATCCCCTTCCTGTGCTTCTGTCAGGAAATGCCGTCTGGGGTCACAGCTTGCCCCTGCTTAGCCACATTCTGAGGAAACATGAGCCCAAGCATGAGGGCACAGCACGTCTGATCACAGGGCATGTCAGGAGCCATAATCTCAATTTCATAATCTTGCCTCTTTCATTATGTTTACATGCAGCTTTTTGTGTCATGCAAATCACATTTTTATTTATTATATACAAAATTATTTTTACTATGGACAATGCATAAATAAACTATATTACCACCAAGGCAAAGAAAACTCTCATTAACAATGTCGTATTTTTCTTACCTCCCTCTTGTTTCTATTTTTATTTAGGCTCTAAATTACAAAATGCTTAATAAAAGGGTTTCAAGCACACACTATTCCAACATCAAGTTTTTGCTTTGCAACTTTTAAAAAGGCAGTATTGAAATTTTCCTAAATATAGGTTTTTTTTTTTACTTAGAGCCTTAGCAGTTTATAGCTACCATACTGTTCAGCATTTGAGTTTCTAGCTGACCTCCTAGGGCAGTTAAGTAGGGAAATAGCTACTCTACTATACACATAAATAAATAGCTTGTTAAGAAATAAATAGTTCAACTAGATTATTGGTTCATTTTCCTTTGGGCCATATCCAGTAGTGCTCAAACATTATTCCTGACTGTACTTAGGGTTCACGCCCAGAAGCGCTCAGCAGTATACATTCAGAGCAGCGGGTCTAACCAAGTCTGTCACATGTAAGGCAAGTACCTTAACACCTGTACTATCTCTCTGGCTCTGATTCACTTTTCTTTACACTGAAAGCACACATGAAATTCATCTGAGCCAATTTTACTTTCCCACACTTTTCACTAATAATAAATACAAAAATACATTATGTTATTTTTTCATCCTCTGGAGTTTAGAATTTTTACATTAGTTTGTTTTACTATGTGGGGAACTGGAAAATAAAAATTAAATAAGAAATATAATCATTTAGGGGAGGTGATGGAAGGGAAACTGAGACATTGCTGGTGGGAAATGTACACTGGTGAAGGAATGGGTGTGTATGACTGAAACCCAATCATGAACAGTTTTGTAATTGTGTATCTCACAGTGATTCATTAAAAAGGGGGGAGGGAGAAACAAAATTCCTTTGGAATAAAACCCACAAGTGATCATAACAAGCACCAGCTTATAAAAAATGAACAGGGAAAACATTAGAATATAAAAAATAAAAATATTTCACTTTATTCTATTAAGTAACCATATGTGCTGTTAATCCTTACTCTGTTGTTACTCAGAACTTTAGCTGTAAGTGAAAGTGAAGGTTATATTTGAAGTTTTTAGAGAATTGAACCCAGAAGCACTGCTTACTTTGTAGGTAGGAATTTCCCTGTAAGAGAAAATACAAAGTTTATATAGGCAAAGTGCCTTCCATTGATAAACTACTTAATTAAAAACATTTTCCTAGAAATTTAAGGAGTAGAATTACTTTAAAAAATTAAAATTTATTATTTTTTTCAATGTAGGATTATTGCTATTCATTCAGCCACTGATTAAGCTGATTTAAGCTGATTCAAGCTGGTATAAACTTCACTAATAATTTTTTTGTTGTTGCTTTTTGGGTCACACCCTGCGATGCACAGGGGATACTCCTGCTTCTGCACTCAGGAACCACCCCTGGCAGTGCTCAGGGGACCATATGGGATGCTGGGAATCGAGCCTGGGTTGGCTGCTTGCAAGGCAAATGCCCTCCCCGCTGTGCTATTGCTCCAGCCCCAAACACTAATAAATTTTTTAAAGAAAAAAATATGTGAAAGGGAGGGATGCCTGCACTGCTAGTAAAGATGTACAAATATTCATCTACACTGGTATCTCATAGCTTATCGATCTGGGAGATGATTGGGCAATCTCTTCAACCTAAAAAGGAAAGTAAAGTAAAGGCCCTTCCATTGTTCATTGATTTGCTCCAGTGGGCCCAGTAAGGTCTCCATTGGAGATTTTGTTGTTACTGTGTTTGGCATATCGAATACATCAGAGGTGGCTTGCCAGGCTCTGCCGCAGGGGCGAGATACTCTTGGTAGCTTGCCAGGCTCTCCTCTCTAAACCTAAGTGTTGTTTCCTGGGGGCCCAAAAGCTGGATGCAGTTTGGGACACAGACTCTATTGCCCTGTTGCCTTGCTCCTCCCACAGGTTGGGGTGAGTGACTGCTCCTGTGACCGCCAGTTAATTTCCCCCACCCTATCTCATTCAGGGAAAGAAGATACCACCATCCCCAAACCCCGCCAGCTCCTTCCCAGGCAGTGAGGGGGATTAGGCTAATAGCGTGCTAGAAAGAACCAACCTCCAAAGTACAATGGGCATCATAGGTAAACAGCGCAGAAAAACACAATGAGGAGTGGATGAATAGAGGAGCCCTGAAACTCACATAGGTAATCTCTCTGAAGAAAATTCAGAAACAAACTAGTGAGAATGCTTAATGAGCTCAAAGATACAGTGGAATGGGCAGCCAATAAAATACAGAAGGAAATTAGACTAGTAATAAGAAAATTGCAAACAGAAATCCATTAATTAAAAATTTGGTAGATGAAATAAAAACTCAATGGGTGCCCTTAGCAGGAGAGTAACAACGGCTGGAGATAGAATCACTGAACTTGAGGATGAGATGCAGAAAACCTCTAAGGAACATCAAAAGATAGAGAAAATCCACAAAATAACTCCAATCTAGATCAGAGAACTCTGGGATGAATTGAAGAGGAACAACAAAAGAATCATTAGAGTACCATGGGGGACAGGGAGGCAACCCAAGGAGATATTAGTAGGTAAAGACATCATTCCCAGTGCTGGAGAATGCAGACATCCTGATCCAAGAAGACCACAGAGTACCATCTAAAATAGGTCCTAATAGAAAAGACCCCAAGGCATATTGTAATCAGAATGACAAATACCGTAGATAGAAATACAATACTGAGAGAAGAGGTGGAGGTGGAGGCGGAGGAGGCGGAGGAGGCGGCGGCGGAGGAGGAGGAGGAGGCGGCTCGGAGAGCGAGCAGCGAGCTGGAGCACGAGAGTGAGTGAAGCCCGGCCGCCCACCGCCCGCCTGCCCGCTCGCCGCCGCCGCCGCCGTCGCGCCGCCCGGGCCCGGCCCGGCCGCCGCGCCGCACCAGCCCCGCCCTCGTCGCCAGGCCGCAAGGGCCGCGCGCGCCAGCCGCCGGGGAGCGAGCGAGCGAGCGAGCGAGCGAGCCCGGGAGGAGGCGGCCGGAGCGAGCGAGGAGCCGCGCGTGTGGCGAGAAGGGAAGCCGCCGCCGCCGCCACCCCCCCCACCCCCCCCCCCCCCCCGCCCGTCGCCTGCCCTTCGCGCCTCCCCGCCCGCCCCCCGCGGGAGCAGCACCACGTCGGCGCCGGCGGCCAAAGTCAGTAAAAAGGAGCTCAACTCCAACCACTACGGGGCCGACGAGACCTCAGAAAAAGAGCAGCAGGAAGCGATTGAACATATTGATGAAGTACAAAATGAAATAGACAGACTTAATGAGCAAGCCAGTGAGGAGATTTTGAAAGTAGAACAGAAGTATAACAAACTCCGCCAACCATTTTTTCAGAAGAGGTCGGAATTGATCGCCAAAATCCCCAACTTTTGGGTAACAACATTTGTCAACCATCCACAAGTGTCTGCGCTGCTTGGGGAGGAGGATGAAGAGGCGCTGCATTATTTGACAAGAGTTGAAGTGACAGAATTTGAAGATATTAAATCGGGTTACAGAATAGATTTTTATTTTGATGAAAACCCTTACTTTGAAAATAAAGTTCTCTCCAAAGAATTTCATCTGAATGAGAGTGGTGATCCATCTTCAAAGGCCACTGAAATCAAATGGAAATCTGGAAAGGATTTGACGAAACGCGCAAGTCAAACACAGAATAAAGCCAGCAGGAAGAGACAGCATGAGGAACCCGAGAGCTTCTTCACTTGGTTCACTGACCATTCGGATGCTGGTGCAGATGAGCTCGGCGAGGTCATCAAAGACGACATTTGGCCAAACCCATTGCAGTACTACTTGGTTCCTGACATGGATGATGAAGAAGGGGAAGGAGAAGAAGATGACGACGATGATGAAGAGGAAGAAGGATTGGAAGATATTGATGAAGAAGGGGATGAAGATGAAGGTGAAGAAGATGAAGATGACGACGAGGGAGAGGAAGGAGAGGAGGATGAAGGAGAAGATGACTAACGGAACACTGACGGATTCCAATCTTTTTTAATTTTCTCCAGTCCCTGGGAGCAAGATGCAGTCTTTTTTCTTTTCTCTCCCCCTCCCCTAGCCCTGCCCCGCCCCTCCCCGTCCCCACTCCCTGTGCTCAGTCTGTCGCCCTGTTTTTTGAGGTCTCTTTTTCTCTCCTTTACACCATGGTTCTCTACCTAATTCGGGGAAATACCTTGAACAGAATTCAGTGGGGAAAGACTACTGGTTTCTGTTCCAAATTAAATTTTATCACTTCTCGTCTCAACACAGACTTGATGGAATCTACACCACCGTGCGCTGCTGGGAAAAAAGAAAGACCTTCTGCACCCTTAGCTCTGCTGAAGCTGGAGGGCCAGGCCCCTGTGTAGTAGTGCATAGAATTCTAGCTTTTTTTCTCCTTTCTCTATATATTGGACTCAGAGATGACACTGTGTCTCTATGTGAATATGGACAGTTAGCGTTTACCAACATGTATCTGTCTACTTTCTCTTGTTTAAAAAAAGAAAAAAAATCTTTAAAAAAAATGGTGTTATAGAAGGTCAGCAAAAGGGTGGGTTTGAGATGTTTGGGTGGGTTAAGTGGGCATTTTGACAACATGGCTTCTCCTTTGGCATGTTTAATTGTGATGTTTAACGGACATCCTTGCAGTTTAAGGTGACACTTTTAAAATAAAATTCTCTCCTAATGATGACTTGAGCCCTGCCACTCGATGGGAGAATCAGCAGAACCTGTAGGATCTTATTTGGAATTGACATTCTCTATTGTAATTTTGTTCCTGTTTTATTTTTAAATTTCTTTTTTTGTTTCACTGGAAAGAAAAGATGCTCAATTTTAAACGTTAAAAAGTGTACAAGTTGCTTTGTTACAATAAAACTAAATGTGTACACAAAGAAAAAAAAAGAAATACAATACTGAAAGAAGCAAGATCAAAGAAAGGAATTACATGCAAAGATTTACAGCATGTAATTCCTTAGATTTACAGCGAAACTATTGAATGAAACCCTGTAATCCTGAGGACAGTGGTGCGATATAGTTCAAAAACTTAACAAAATGAAGGCTTCACTAAGATTCTTATTCAGATTTGAAAGAATGATAGAGAAATTCACGGCTAAACAATAGCTCAGGAACTTCATAGGCTGAAAATCAATCTTAAAAGAAAAACTCAAGGGGTAACAACTGTAAGGCAAGACAAACTCCATAAGCATAAAATCCCTCTAAAAGAAAGATGGCACAAAACCCCATCACAATAATCAATGATGTAAATGTATTGATTATAAGACACAGGGTGGCAAAATGGATTAAATAATTGAATCTAAAATTCTGCTGTCTACAAGAAACACATTTGAATAGTTCAGGCAAACACAGACTCAAAGTGAAAGCCTGGAATGTAGTTCTTCAAACAAACAACTTCCTCAAAAAAGCCAGGGTGATCATACTAGTATCCTGCGACATGCATTTTAGGCTGAAAAAGGTTACAAGAGACAATGAATGTCATTTATTAATAATCAAGGCATGCATATATCAGGAAGAAATTACACTCCTGAATGTGTATGTGCCCAATGAGGGACCAGCAAAATACTTAAAACAACTACTAATAGACTTGAGGAAAGACATTGGAAGCAACACATTATTAGTTATAGACCAGTACTGCCCTGTCACCCCTTGATAGATTAATGAGGTTAAAACCCAGCAAGGAAATACTGGATTTAAAGGATGAAGTGGGATAGAGGGAGTCAGTAGATATTTAGGGCCCTTCATCCCCCAAAAGCTGAATATACATTCTTCTCCAATGAACATGAAACAGTTTCCAAGATAGATCACATGCTTGGACACAAAACACACCTCTAAAACATTAAGAGGACAGAAATGGTATCAACTCTCTTTTCAGACCATGAGGCACTGAAATTAGAAGTTAGTAACACACATAAATGGAGAATCAAATTAAATACCTGGTAAATAAACAACTGGCTATTGAGCAATCAGTGGATTAGAGAGGAAATCACAAGATTCCTGGAAGCAAATGAGAGTGAGGACATGAGATGGCAGAACTTGTGGGATACAGCAAAAGCACCTTTAAGAGGAAAGTCTATAGCTCTGCAAGCATACATCAGGAAGGAAGAAAGGCCCACCTAAATAACCCCACAGCTTAAAATCTTAGAAAATAGACCAACAAAAGGAGCCCAAATCAGGCAGGAGGAAGAAAGAAAAAACAAAACTTAGAGCAGAAATTAACAAGCTGGAATCCCAAAACACAATCAAAATGATCGATAAAACCAAGAGCTGGTTCTTTGAAAAAATAAACAAGACCGCGAAACCACTAGCAAGACTCACACTAAAGAGAGACAGAGAGAAAGAGAGAGAGAGAGAGAGAGAGAGAGAGAGAGAGAGAGAGAGAGAGAGAGAGAAGAAAAGTACCTGCCACGGAGGCAGGAGGTAAGCTGGTGCTCTTGGTGGTGGGAAATGTACACTGGTGAAGGGACGGATTTTGGAAAAAGGTAAAAAAATAAACCATTGTGTCATGATGCTGGACTGGAGCAATAGCACAGTGGTAGAGTGTTTGCCTTGCATGCAGCAAGCCCGGCCAAGCCGGGTTCAATTCCTCTGCCCCTCTCGGAGAGCCCAGCAAGCTATAGAGAGTATCTTGCCCTCACAGCAAAGCCTGGCAAGCTCCCTGTGACGTATTCAATATGGCAAACAAACACAGTAACAGCAAGTTTCAAAAATGAAGATGTTACTGGACCCGCTCGAGCAAGTCGATGAACAATGGGAGGACAGTGTTTGTTGGACAGTTTGTCATGATACTAGTTTTTAAAGAGCAATTTAGGAAGTTATGAAATTGACTACCAAGCAGTCAATAATGGAAGATATACACTTGTTATATTCTCTTAATGTACCTGACTCCGGTTTATACTTTTCATTAATTTTGATGTCATGATTTCTCCAACATTCCAATGGTATATATGTATACAACTATATGTGTATATATATATATTTCATCCTTTATAAAATATTTTTACATTAAAATTCTCATAACAGAGGAATTAAGACACATTCCCTGTACATTTAAAATACCAGTTTAAAGTCTATGACATCTGAAAAAGGAATCCTCATTTACTATTCAAGGGAATTTTGTCTGTTCAGCCTCTATGAAAAATAGTATGGAGAATTTTCTAAAAAACAAGAATGAAATATCCATATGGCCTAGTGATTTTACTTTTCAACATCTATCCTCTAAGTACCAAATCTTTAATTTGAAAGATATATGAACACCTATCTTATTACAGCACCAACTGCAATAGCCGCACTATTGAAACAACCTAAAGATGAATGGATAAAGAATTTGTGGTATGTGTACACAATGGAATAATAGGCAGCTATAACAAAAAATGAAATCTTTTAGTTCACCTCCGTTTGCCTGGAACTGGACAACATAATATCAAGTGAAATAAATCAGAGGGAGAATAAAATATCAGATGGTCTCACTCAACTGTGATCTACAAAGAAACAGAGCGATGAAATGTTACTATCAAATGATAACAACTCTTATTACAAAACTGGTACTACGAAACAAGGGGAAGAGTTGGGGGGAGATAAAGAGGATGGAGGTGACACAGTGACATTGGTGGAGGCTTTGAGGAACTTTGATGGTGGGGAGTTATATTAACTGTACACACTCAAACTTTAAATGTTAACACTTGTAAACATGTGAAAACCATAATGATTAAATTTAATAAAATTAAAATCTATTAAATCTTAAAATTACTAAAAAACTTGATTAATTTATTTTTGTGTGTGAAGCAAAACAGTTTTATATTAAAATTTCCACAAAGAAAAGTAAAGGGAAAACAGGAGAGAAAGAAAGACATACCTAAGAGAGAACACAAGTTTCTTCAGGGCAGGTGGAAGTCTTATTTTCTTCTCTTGGTTTCATATAGGAAATTGGACACTAAAATCTAAATGTGGGAAATTATTTCTGTATTCAAATGTCAGTGGAATGACACAAATCTATCTGGAGTGTCTTTTGAATTCCAGTGCAGCTACTATCACTCAACACTGTGCCAACCATCTTCCTGAGATGAGAGAAAATAATAATGCATGACAAGTTGCAGTTTCCATGTGTATGTCCGCATTGACAGGTACAAAGAAGAACATGCTTTTTGTAGCTGTAAATTCATACTAATGGAGGATTGTTTTCTCTCTATTTGCCAAATGAACAAAATGACAGAGGGAAAAAACTTAGAGTCAAGTACATCTGGCAATGATGAGCACATAAGGTCATTGGGACCAAAGCCGTAATACAGTGGGCAAGGTGTTTACCCCCACCCGGAGTGATCCCTGAGCATAGAGACAGGAGCAAGTCCTAAGCATCACTGCATATGGGACAAACACAAACCAAAAATAAAGAGGCAGAGAAAGAGTATTCACTATACAAAATCTCCTCATTAGGATGGTTTCACACACACTATCTTCTGTGCTCACTGTTTAGAAATCACACAGTGAAATTCTGTCTATGGGCCTATTCCAATAATTACAAAGAAAGAAAGCAGGAAATAACATGAAAAAGAAAAAGGGTGGGCTGCTGGAGAAAAAATACAAAGATTCTGTTGCACATGACCAACCCTACTTGGATCCCTGAATAGCCAGAAACTGGAAACAACTCGGGTGTCCGAGAACAGATGACTGGTTAAAGAAACTTTGGTACATCTACACAATGGAATACTATGCAGCTGTTAGAAAAGATGAATTCATGAAATCTGCTTAAAAGTGGTTGGTCATGGAGAGTATCATGCTAAGTGAAATGAGTCAGAAAGAGAGAGACTGGCATAGAATGACTGCACTCATTTGTGGAATATAAAATATCACAATATGAGACAAACACCCAAGGACAGTAGAGACAGGGTCAGGAAGATTTGTCCATGGCTGAAAGCTTGCTTTATGAGCTGGGAGAGAAGGCAGCTGGGACAGAGAAGGGATCCCTAAATAAATGGTGGTTGGAGGGATCTCTCTGGGTGGGAGATGTGTGCTGAAAATAAATAAGGACAAAACATGATGGCCTTTCATTATTGCAAACCATAATGCCCAAAAGGAGAGAGAGAGAGAGAGAGAGAGAGAGAGAGAGAGAGAGAGAGAGAGAGAGAAGAGAGAGAGACTGTCTTCCATAGAGGCAGGGGGAGAGGTAAGGATACGAGAACATTGGTCATTGGTGATGGAAAATGTATACTGGTGGAGGGATGGGTGTTTGATAATTATATAACTGAAACTCAAACATGAAAGCTTTGTAAGTCTAGCTCATGGTGATTCAATCAAAAAAGATAAATAAAAATGATAAAATATTATTCATGAATCAAAAAAGAAGATAATACACTTTAACAAAATT